ACCATAAACACCTCCCAACCCTTGCATTTGGCCATTTTCGGACAGAAACAGAGGAAGAAGGAAAAGGGGAGGAAGGGGGAGAAAGGGTGCAAGGGGAGCTCGGGGAGACCAAGAGGGACGTGCCCAGACGTGTCCCGAAGCTTCTCACGTCGTGTGGAGCCACGAGGAACGCACACAAGTTCGGACAAACTCAAGAACAAGGTGAGTGGTTTGAGTTGGATTTGTGAGATCTTGTTCTCAATGTGTGATGGTCCAAATCGAGATTTCATTGCGTGTTTGAGGTTTAGAACATGTCTAGGGATGTAAAACTATGTGTTAATAGCATTTGGAAGCAACCCCGAATCGAAACGGATAAGAAAACGCGAAACAGAGTTCGGAAATGGCGAAGGAGAAGACAAGTCCCAGTCCCGGTCCGCCGGACCAGCCTTTGGTCAGCTCCGGACCGAGACTGGGACGAAACACGCAAACTCAGTCGGACTAAGAGACATTCCGGACCGAGAGAAAACACGTCCTGGTCCGCCGGACCAGAATCTGGTCCGCCGGACCAGACGTGTTCCGAAGCCTCACGGTCTGCCGAGCCAGGAAGAAGCGAACGGACCAAGGGAAGAAGGCGTCTGGTCTGGGGCTGACCAGTCTTGGTCCGCCGGACCAGACATGCCGGAGAAGGCACACTCCGTCTGACCATGAGAGGGACGAACCGGACCAAGAAGAGGACACGCCTGGTCCGGGGCTGACCAATCCTGGTCCGCCGGACCAGACGTGTCGGAGTGAGGACACTCAGACGGACCAGAAGAAGCGGACTGAGAGAGGAGAAGCTGGCTGGTCCGGGGCTGACCAGAATCTGGTCCGCCGGACCAGGCTCAGAGAAACTCGGAAAAATTTTCCCGTTCGCCGGGAAAAAGAAACGGCCGACGGACTTGGTCTGGGCCTGACCAGACTTGACCGTGGACACACCAACCCCCACCAGAGGACAAGACTTCGCGATTGGGATCAATCGAATCGAGTTTTCACCAGAACGTTGCGTAGTGTAGTGAGATGTGCGATATCGAAATATGAGTGATCGTTGCGTGATTGTTTGCGGGTAGAATTTGCATGGCGTTAAACGGTAGCTCGGTAGGGACCGGATACCGTGATACGTATGGTTGTACTATGGGGGTGTTGCACGTTGTGTGCCATGTGTGTAGCTTGCTCGTGCGTACGAGTTAAGCGTGATTGTGTTTGTGGATGGTTGTGGACTCAACCATCACCGTCATGGACTTGACGGGCGTTTGAGACGCGTTTTAGTCGTGTGCGACACGACGGCCAACGTCATGGATTTGACGGGCGTGGACTCGCA